CCTCTCTGATCTAAACCCCAAACCACAAAGCTCTGTGAGGGAGTCTCTTCCCAGTTAATGCACTCAATATCTAGGAAAATTCCCAACTCAGGCCTGCCGACTGACCTCACAAGTACATGATTCCTCAGCCCAAAACCACATTCCAAAATCTCCCCGAAACATCTTGGAACTGGAGGGTCTGCCCTCCATGTGGTTACTTCAAAGCTGTTCTTGCTCTCTAAAGTCTTTCAAGGTGTAAAATATTCGGAGTTACCAATCACCAATCCTAAAGTTCTTTTTGCTCACACATTTCCAGTTTTGTTTTCTGTTTTTCCTCCTAGAAAGCATCCAGAATAAGAATACTGCCCAGAGGACATGATGCTGCACACGTAGTGTGACTGAAGCTGCCTCCTGATGCTTTCGGGAGGACCCAAAAATTCTTTAGCCTGGCTGTGCCTTTCCCAGCTTGATCCCTAGTGATCAGTAAGTGTGAGGAGTCACTTGATGATGTCACACACATGCACAGACACACACAAACACACAAGTACATGATATCTACATGCCTATTGAAATTACCAAAATCCAGGGCAGTGACAACACCAAATGCTGGGGAGGATTTGGAGCAGCAGGAACTACCATTCACTGCTGGTGGGAATACAAGATGCTTACAGCCACTTTGGAAGACAGCATGGCAGGTTCTTCTAAAACTAAAAAATTCTTACTGTATGATCCAGGACTCATATACCATATGGGTATTTACTCAAAAGATTTGAAAACTTATATCCACACAAAAAACCTACACATGGATGTTTTTAGCAGCTTTACTCATAACTGCGAAAACACAGATGCAAACAAGATGTCCTTCAGTTAGTGAATGGATACACTTTGGAACCTCCAGGAAGTTGAATATTGTTTCCGATTCTCCAAATCTGCAGAATGTAAAAAAGTACTGAATCAACCGAAACAAAAACACTAGTCTCTTGGTGATTATGATATATCAACGTAGGTCCATCAGTTCTGACACATGGAGGACTCTGGTGGGTTGCTGATAAGGAGGCAGGCTATGTAGGTGTGGGGGCGGGAAGTAAATGGGAAATCTCTATACCTTCTCTTTGTTGTTCTTGCACCTAAAAGTCTTATAAAAATAAAGACTTAAAATAACACACGGTATGAACAACGCTAAGTAAACAACAAAACATGAGGACACCGGAAGGGAAGACTGCTGACTGTGGGGGGCGGACTCCTCTGTTGCGGGGCGGGGGGCAGCAGGGAGTGGGGGAGGGGCTGTGGGCTGCACAGACGCAGATGGCAGGCCCGGTAGGAGGAAAGATCTCCCGCTTCTGAGCGGTTTCTTGCCTACAGCTGGGGCAGGGCCCTGGACACACATGCCTCAGCCCTGGGGCTCTACCAGGACAGCAAGAAAGATGGGTCAGTTGAGGCATTTCCCTCCTGAGTCTCTGCTAATACCCACCTGACATCAAACCTGGGTGAGGACTGGCCTGTGCAAAACACATCACTTAAAT